AGCCCTCCCCCAGCTGCAGGCATGGCTGCTCTTGCCTGGGCCCCGCTTGCACTGGACCTTTAAGACAAAGGCGTTTACATGTTCTCCTACCAAGTCTTCTCTCGTCTTTCACTCCCTGCTCTACTCCTGGATCCTCCTACTGTTTCCCTCAGCAAGAGGCTGCTTTTTCACAGTTTATCCTTTAAAAGATTTCCTTCCTTAATTCACGGTGGTCTAAGGCACCAAATGTAGCAAGGCTACACCCAAACTCAGTGGGTTTTTTCCATGGTGAAATCATACCACTTGCACCTCAGGGCAACGAGCTGTTGACCAGTTCCAGAGAAAAACACTTCCAGGAACACTGAATTGAACAAGACTCTACTGCTGTCACATGCCAGCCATCTCAGTGACATGCAACCCACAGACACGCAATAGCTATGGGAGCAAATGTGGGCACAAGAGGAGAAGAAGAAAGAGGACCAGACTGGAAAGCATCAGGAGGGAGCAAGCTCTGCTACAGCAGCCAGGAGATCTGGTTCCAGGTCCACCACGGACCCGCACAGCCCAGCATAAGCCGCAAGCATGCCATCTCATTTGGCTTCCCACGTTCAGCGGCAGTTCCCACACTGGTAGCTGAGCGGTCACACAGCATCAAGGATGACACGGTGGTGTCACCAGCCCTTGTCCCTACAAGAGAGAGACACACTAGCTCCTGATCCCTCTGTCCCTGCAGAAGCAGGAGACAAAGCCTGCCCGTGGTGTGCTCAGGCTGTGCCCATTGCCCGAGCCTTGTCCCAGGGCATCCCCACCTGCACGGAGGGACACGGAGAGCCCTCCTGTGACTCTGCGCTTGGTGTGCCTGGTGCCCGGCCAGCTAAAGGCACGGGGAGCAGGGCAGCTCCTGGCCAGGTACGCCGCTCTGCCCAGCAGCTTGGCCACCGCCTCCCCTCCTTTTCAGGAGGAGGAACCGGGGCATGCTGTCCCCCGTCCCCCCTGAACGGGGCCATGCTGTCGTGCCACCAGGTGCAGGGAGTCTGCGGACAACTGGTCAACCTCTTCACAAAGCTGAGTGAGCGCCTTGGGCACGACTGGCACGGCAGAAGCGTGGCACCACAGGCACGATGGGAGCTGTGCCCATTCGCACCCTGCAAAGCTGTCCCGCACAGCCTGTGTTTGCAGGGAAGCAACACTGTCCCCTCTCTCTCACCGAGGCGTGGGCTCCTCACCTTGCACCACGCTGAGCTTCCAGCTGCCCCTGGGCCCCAGGGTCTCAGATGCCTGTCGGCGCAAGCGATGAGCGTCAAGGGAGACAACATCAAATGGGAGGGAGGAAATCCCACCGCAGCGACACTTTCTGCTCTAACACAGCATCCGAGATGGGCATCCTGGTAACACACCAGACGTTCCCCTGGAGCCTGGATTGCCTGTGGCTTTAATCAGTATGCTAATACAGACTCGATGGCTGCGCTATAGGTATGGTGTGCAGACAGCGGAGGGAGGGAGGAGGGAAATAGTGCCCTGTTTTTCCTCCCTAGGGACTTCAACCCAACAATTCAGCATCACACTGTTGTATTTCTGCCATAGCCCAGACGCACTCCTTCCCCTTTGTTTGGCCTCAGGACAGCAGCCTTAGCCACCTCACCCACACTCGTCCCACCTTTTTGGCTCACTGTTGGTTAAGAAAGGTTATTTCAAGCATTAATCAATCTTCCAAGTCCCTGGGAGATGAACCAATAAAGGGGAAGGTGATTCTCAGCAGTTTCCTTTCCCCCCCAGCCCCCTTTCCAAACAGTTTATTTTTAATTGGTACTGGATTATTTTCTGCAACCGTTACTAAGGAAACCTCTGTTACTATAGCAACTGTGTATGTTAAGTCAGTAGCCCTATATCTATTAAAATGCAGTATATACACATGCTGCGTGTGGTGGGGTTGCTCAGCATCAACACACACATAGAGACAAAGCCAGGGTATGCACAGACCAGAGCTGCCGAGACACAAGCATCTCTCCCAGTGCTCTTCCCACATCACGGCACCTCCAGAGGATGAAGATGAGGAGGACGGGCCCAGAGTAGTTTTAAGCCTGGTGTCTGGGGCAACAGACCTGCGTTTTGTACGTGACGAATGTATTTCAGTGAAGCGGTGAGGGCTTGTTCGGGGACAATATTCACAGCAATTCTCACCGTCTACGAACAGCACGGACCCCTGCGGTCATCCAAGGGCACTGAAGCAAGCAGCTCTGCTTGCTTCCATGCGACACCTGGGAAGACGTTGTCTTTTGTGGGGACGAGGGTGATGGAGAAGAAATCTTACTAATTCTGGCAAAAATAAGACCCTAAATCACATGCACTTACCCCAGCCCTCCAAGCTCTCCTCGGCAGCCACTGCAGCCAGTGTTCAGGAATTTGCCCATGCGTGTACCGAGTCCCCCAAATCTTGACGATTTGATCGCTTCTACTGCTGCTCCCAGTCGGAGCAGCAGGTCCTGGCAGGGAATTCCAGGTCTTCCCTTTGCTAGACTGCACGCACTTGCACAGGTTCGTAACACCGTGTGCGGTTTCCTCTAGATTAGAGGTATTGGTGATACATAATGACACCCTTGCCTATGCAATTCTCATCTAACATGACTTATTTTCCTAACAGAGGCACACCACGGAAGACAAGTGCAGGTTTTGTTTCCCTCCCACAGAATTAGAGAGGACATTCTCGGTCTTTTCCATTCTGTGAACACCAAATGCTTTTCTTTACAGGCACCAGCTCCTGCATAGTAAATGCACACCTACCTCTTCTTCATTACCTTTTGTAGATCCTACGGAAATAATTCACGTCTTTTAAAGACCACAGACTGAAAACTGCCGAGTTGGAAACACTGTGGCACACAGGTTACTTTGGGGCAGCTTCGCCTTTGGTCTGCAGGCTGGTTGGCTTCTTCACGCAGGGCAGGGACCCCCTGCCCACAGTCTGGTTAAGACACGGGGAGTGTTGTGGGGCTGCTTGCAATCCTGCTCTCCCACATCGATGACCATCAGCCACCATTCATAGATACGCAAACTAATCCAAAAGGCTCATTTTGCACTTGGGAAAAATGATGTAAGAGGGAGAAAAAAAGAAAAGTTCTGAAGTTAGTGGTCCAGGGTGATGGTGATGGTAATGGTACAATACAGCGCCAGGGAGTCCATCTCTTTCCATCCTGGTGGTAAGTTTACTCCAGCACAAACTGGGTCTCTTTAAGCCCCATGCAGCTTGTCAGGTCATGTTTAAAGCTGCCTGCCATGACACGGAAACGATGGTAGCTGCTGGCGCG